GTATATGCAATGCTAACGTTGCGGTAATTTGTATTGAATAGGATGTGTGCAAATGTCTTTGCGGGTCGCCAAATTGCCGAGGGATTTTGGGTCTGCAGCGAGAACAGACGCGCGTGTGTTTACCGTCGGTGACTACTAACGATATGGTACAGCTCACTATGGATCGGTTTCTACTATAATTTTAGCTATCAGTCTACGTGCATAGTTATTACTAATAATATGTAGTTCTGAAAATACTTATGTCGAGCTTGGGTAGACTGCGTGGATTCAGTTGGATTCAACAAGCGAAGCGCAGATTAATCTCAACTAAAAAGTATGGAGAACAGCAAACTTCCACGCGAGAGCATTGTAGCGCCAGATCGCCCAATAATACCAATGCGAAATAAGTAGACGTACTCCCTCGTGGGGATGGTGACAGGGACGATGTCGTCGTCGTAGTTGGAAATTAGAAAACGTGTACAGTTGCTTCAACATCAATTGCAAACTTGTATTAAAATATCAAGCTACATATTTTTAATTGTTCACTAACACACATGACTTTTACCGCGGACGAGCGTCGCGAGCGGCATCGGTTGGCGGTTCGACGATCGCGTGCACGAGAAACAGCGACTGCTAGAGCTGAAAGACTGCGCCGCAACCGAGAACGCTATGAAAGTGTCAGTGTAGGCGAAAGACATGAGCGAAACAGAGAGCGATCACGGGTACAGGAAACACCGGCCGCCCGAACCGAGAGGCTGCGACGTGATCGGATGCGCCACATTTGTGTTTCGGGTGTGCGTGCGTCAGCGGATGATCAGGCCAGAGCGCTGCCGACTGAAATGCCAAATCTTCGTTTACAAAGCGAGCTGAATCACGCGTGGTGTGACGGCAACGAAACGCCGTTGCTTCCAGTGTCGGAGACTTTAAAACGACACTGCCTTCAACATCTACAGGTTGCGTTTGGCGCCGTCGGACTCGATGAAACCACGTGCGCTGTGTGCGACCGATGTCAGCCTCGAACGGAGATCCGCGTGATTCAAATATCAGACGCCGCCCGGATACAGAATCTGCACGACCTGCTATCGAGCGATGGAGAGACGCTTCCAGCTGCACTTTTGGCCGAGTATGACTGTTCCAATCTGAGCTTGGCTCTAAAAGGCATACTATTGTGGAAACGTGGCGTGAGCTCGGACGGCGATCTGCAAATTTGCCAGGAGTGCGACGACAGTCTGCTGAAGAAAAGATTGATCCCAAAGTTTTCCATAAAAAATGGTTTTTTCGTGGGCACACTACCGAGTCGGTTTTTGGGGATGACGGTACCTGAGCGTCTGATGACGCAGACCGGGTCTATCGTTTCCGTCACACGCGTGATGCGGGGAGGTTCCCCACCGTGCGATTCGTTCACACTGTTTGGTGTTTGATGCTACCCCGGGCCCACCTGCCACGTTGCTGCCAATTCCTGTTGACAATGTTTCTTCGTATCGCGTCGTACTGGCCGGTCCATTCACGACTGAACAGCAGGCACGCGTTCGCCAGATGCATCGCGTGCGTCGGCAGGTAGTTGATGACGTCCTCTGCTTTTATCGGCGGCACAACGTATTATACAATCATGTCGTCATTAACTGCTCCAATATCCCGATTGACGTCGTCGCAGAGAATTTGATTCTTAAAGACACTGAGGCTGATCTTGAGGCTACAGACATGGATGCTGAACACGATCGAGTCGGTGGTGTTTCGGATAACAGTCGTTCCAATGTAGATACTGACGTCATTGAGAGTCGCCTCGTATTCATTTCGGACGACCACGACGTGAGTACACAAGACGCACCGCCGCTTGAGCGCTACGAGCGCTCTAGGCAACGTACTTTGCAGCCACAGTTCCTTGTTCGACATTTGAGCCAATTTGCTCAGCAAGACATGACATTTTTGGCACGGATGTTCCCACATTTGTTCCCTTACGGACGAGGGCATCCGGGTGAACCACGGCACGTACCCGTGGGGCTTAATACTTGTATCCGGCATTATGCCATGTTGAGCTCGAGGCGGTTTGCTGAAGACGAGATCTTCATGCTCGCGAGCTTTGACTATTTGTCGGTCCAGAAGATGTACACTCAGCTCGCGTTAAAGTGTCAGCGAAACCCCACTATATTCGAGCCGTACAGCGATATAACTGAGAGTGCGCTCGTGAAAGCGCTGAATGAAAAAGAGCTGCAACGTCAGGGTCGCACAACAGCGGCGCGCGACCAGGGTTCGATTGCATCCGCGTTTCTGAAATCGGTCGAAATAAGTGGCAGCGCGATGTGGGGGCAGCGACGGCGAGCGTGCGCAATGTCGACGACGAGCGTTCGCGTACCAAGCTCGTTTTGGCCGACCGGCACTTTTCGTGACGCTTACCCCGAACATTGCCGATACATTCGTCATGGCACAGTACTGCGGTATCACATCGGTCGACACGCTGTTTGACGCACCGTTGGCGGAACCACTTGGCAGGTCTGCAATGCATAGTGCGTCCATGCGCAACATCGATGCATTTGTAGAGCACGTCCTCGATGTCCCACCCAAACACATGAAAGGTAAATCATTCGACGGTCTTTTTGGGGACGTGAAGGCGTACTTTGGTATGGTTGAAACCCAAGGCGGAGGTACGCTGCATGTTCACTTTCTGGTGTGGCTATCGGACGCTCCTCCCAACACGGACGCGTTTGACCGGGCAGTAGCCGAGTATGGCGACAACTATTACCACGATATTGAAATGTATGCGGATAGCATAGCCCATGCCCATCGATGTGGCGAACTCGTCATGTGTCTTCTGCGGACATTCGTATGCCGACCTGCAAGACCTTCCGATTCCGCTTGAAGCCTACAAAGATCCGAGCAAGCAACAACGCGGTCACCGCGTACGTGGTGAGCCGGCACTGATGAGGTGTTCCGGGTGCGGCACAGAGCTCAGTTCCCAGCACGCCATTCGACGTGTATTGCTCGAACATCGGCCGCCATCGTGGCCACCTCAAATGCGACCATATTCGTCGTCTGAGCTAACATCTGCCGTACGGCTAGAGACGCCATGCCGTGGTAGTGTTTCCGCTGCAAAGACTGCAATTTACCGCCGTGATTCGCATCTTCTTGTAGGACACAGGGATGTCGATAATGAAGCCACTAATGATGCGTACGGCAACTACCTGCACAACCTGGATCGAACCCCACGCCGTCTCGAGCGGCGCGAAGAGGACGCGTTTCGCGATGACCCAGCTGCTCGCGCGGTTGTAATGCTTCCTCCTTCCATCGACGAAGAGCGATGGGCGCCTCGCGCCGTTGCATTTGCGGTATCAATACTCGTCTTTCTGCTCAATCTTCATTGGTGGTCACATGTTGGGAGTTGCTTCAAGAAGAGCCGTGCGTCAGCGCCTGGTCAATGTCGATACGGATTTCCACGGGATCGCGTACCACAGACAAGTTGTTCGAAAGACGGCGTTACGCTTCGCCGGCGGGGGACCCTTCGAGTTCATCAATGGCTTCAATCGTGAAATGATGCTAGCGTTCCGGGCAAACCACGATATTCAAGTCATGATTGGTGGCAGCAATGCATTACTGCGCATCTACTACGCGACCAAGTACGTGACCAAAATGCAAGAACAAGTGGATTCGATCACGGCCGTCGCACTTGCTGCTTTCAAACGACGCCAACTGCGAGAGGCACGCAACAACGACGACAACGTCGAAACATCTGCGATCGATTCTCAGCAGCGTGCAGCAATTGGACGTCGGCGAGTCGCGGCGTTGGTGTATGCGATCACGAATCGTCGGGAGATCGCCGGTCCACTAGCCGCTCTGTACGTGCTACGTGGGTCGTGTGCATACATGAGCTCGCCGTGTGTACCGCTGCCTCTCCGAAACGTGCTATAGGAGCTTATCGACGAAGGAAACCACTCCTGCGACCTCGTTGAACTACGACTGCAAGGCTCGGACAAAGTAACGTTCCGCGCGGCCTCTCCTTGATGACTATATGTTCCGGCCTCAGGATCTTGGCAACCTCAGTTTATACGACTTTGTGACGACGCATTTCCGTCGAAAGCGAACACAGTTGACTGAAAATGCAGCGCTTTTCCTGCCAGACCATCCACTCTTCAATACGCACTGCATTGACACGCACACATGCAAAGTCGTGCCCGTCGTAGGGGGTATGCAGATGCCTTTCGTTGATACCGAGTCATCCCGTGAGACCGTCGTGCAGCGAAGTCAAAGCGCGCTCGTATTGTTCAAACCGTTCCGCGTCCTGACGGATCTCGTGACCAATCCGACATACAGCGACGCATGGAACGAAGCTTTCTCGCAGTGGCATCCTACGCGGACGAGCTTCATATGCGAGATCATGGCAAACATGGACGATTACAGCCGCGCTGTTAAAGAATCAAAAGAGCGTAGCGAAACGAATGCCGCTGAGGATACCATCGGCGGCGATGATAGTGATAGAGACGACGTCATGGGGACACTTGACGACGTTGATGCCGCGCTCGACTGCTCTGCCACCGCCCGCGAATTTACGGTAGCTCCACCAGTCCTGCGTTCTGACGATTTTTACCATCATTTCATCGACGACGACGACAACGATGGTGTCGACGACATCAACAAGGATCAAGCGTCAGTGCTCCCATCGAATTTACCCGTTTTCCCGAACGCTGCATCGCCCGTGTCGAACAGCCAATTCCAATGTTTATTGCGCACTCTTGCACAGATCACGGCAAACACAGTCGACGGATTACGTCGCCAAGCGTCTCCGACAGTCGACTTTTCGGATCTAGTGGAGCCTCTCACCAATTTCATCAAAGATTCCCACGATCGACGAAACCTGAACTGACCTCGCTCCGAGTCGTTTCGCAGCGAACAACCCACTGAAGTAAATTGCGCTGCTTCAAAACGCGCTCGAGAACGATCTCAAATGGTCGCCTTCCACCACAGCCATCTCCGCACGACACTCCACCGCCATCGCCGCTAAAACCATACGCGTCGATCGTAGAAGTCTCTCAAGCGTTCACGCTCAACCAGCGCCAGCATGTCGCGTTCACGCTCATCGCAACTTCGCTGCTCCAGCGCTTCTTGCGCCAAGAGCTCGGTGGTGTACAGGGTCGTAATAGCGGGTACTGCACGGACAATTTCGAGGCACGCTTCACAGACGACCAGCTGCTGCTATTTCTTGGCGGAGCCGGTGGTACAGGCAAAAGTCGTGTGATTGACGCCATCGATGCATTTTGTACAAGCTGGCATCGCGATGATGTCGTCGTAACGACGTCACCGACAGGCAAGGCAGCGACACTGATTGGCGGGCGCACGCTCGCAAGCTTTCTCATGCGTTTGAAGCACGCTATCAACAGCAAGCACTTCGCACCGCTGGATCTCCTAGTTATCGATGAAGTCTCGATGTTAACCAAAACCGAGTGGCTGCGACTCGACAAGCTGTTGCGCCGATACAAGCAGGTACCCCACGTACCATTCGGTGGCATCCACGTCGTACTTGTCGGAGACTTCCTGCAGATGCCGCCCGTCAAGGCTGATCCTATCTTCCTCGATCCAGTGGACAAAAAGCGAAAAGTAAGCACCGCCGATATTGAAGGATTCGAGCTGTGGCGAAAGTTTACCACAGTCGTCATTCTCGAGGAATCTGTGCGTTTTCGAAGTGACCCCGAATGGGGGGAGGGATGCCGTCTCGCGCGTCTCGGACAATGGACCCCACGATTCATCGATCTGATCAACAGCCGTGTCCTCGATCGTAGCCAGATCCATCAGCATCACCATCTCGAGACGCCTGCACCGCTTGAACGCGATAATCATGACTCCGCGATTGGCGCCAATGCTGTGTTTGTGACGCCCGAAAACGCCGCGCGTCTTGCAGTCAATAACGCCTATATTACAGAAACGGCAAGTATGCTGCCGAGTTACGTCTTCCCCGTGCGTGCCCTCGCGAATTTCAAAGGAGCGCTGAACGGGCTTAGCCAAACTGATGTGCGGTATGTTCTCAGCCTTCCAGATAACCGCTTTGGTCGCATGGCCCCGTACCTGGATCTCATTCATGGCATGCCCGTCCAGATCACTCAAAATGTGGCCACAACAAAAGGTGTACCAAACAACACGCTCGGCAGCCTTGAAGCAGTGCATTTTCCCAACGACACACAATTCCGCCTGGCACGAGATGGCGCGACAAGCACGATTGTCCAATTGCCCAGTCGATCTCCAGACTACGCCGTACTTCGCGTGCCACATCGTCCTCACACGGCAGCGATTCGACCGGGGCTCGATCCAGACTTGTTTCCCGTGTTTTACGCGACCGAAGCGTACCAGAAAATGACCATTACGCTTCCGAAGGCGCCCGACGGTCGCACACGAGCGATCACGGTCAAACCACAGCAGCGCCCCCTTCGTCTGTGCCGTCGGCTCCACCGTTTATAAAGTTCAAGGTGAGACTCTCCACTCGATGGTTGTTATGGACTGGAAATTCAAACAGAGCGTCGTCAACAAACCGCAGCAAAGTTATCTGCTCGTCTCCCGCGTAACGTCAAGACATGCACTGCTCGCGTTAAAGCCATTTACCGACGACCTGGCCGCGTGGTCAAAGCCACCTGCATCTGCACTAAACGAAGAAGAACGGCTCTGCCGCCTCAGCAACATCACCTTGGAAAGGTTTCAGCAATCGATGTCCGCTAACGCGACCACCACCACAACTGAGACGGGCCTTCCGGATAATACCGCCTTCACTCCGTCTGTTCTTTAAATCATGAAGAGTTAGTACTCAATACTCAAGCTGTCCATCTTAACGAATCGTCACCAACCTTCTTGTTTCTACATGTATGTAACATGGAATAGTGAGCAGCGGAACCACAGTGTCCTAGTTGAGGCAGCTGCATACACAACGTATACGCTATCCCTCGACGTCTTCCCATCGACTTGTCATTTGCTTCTATCGAGCCGCACCAAGTCACCCACGTTGCCGCTTCACTGCTGCCAAACTGCACAAAATACCACTTCTGCACGTCAACATTTCACCACTACTAAGTGACGACGTTGCTCGTGGCAGCTTAGCCAGCGCCCAGCTTGTTAATGCATGCCGTTGTCGCTAGACACACACCGTCCAGCCACCATTACTACCGCATCGCTCGATAATGCTGGCCACGCGTTTCTGACCCATGTCATGGTGGCAATGCTGTTGAGTCGCGAGCATCTGCAGTTTAGTCTTCGCTTCCCAGCGTCCTGCTCTCTACTGACTGCCTGCCGTCGGTAATCGCCGATGTGCCTGATGTACTCATACACCGTTAGACGCGCTGCTAACCCACGCCATCATTAACCACACCGCTGCAGACCCGCGAGCTTTTGCACGACTTGACCTTCGCTAGCCAGCGCCCCCCCCCCCCCCGGGCCAATAAAAATAATGGGCTTGGCGCCCTCTTTTATTTGACTGAAAGGGGGCATATGTTTGATTGGCTCAATCGCCGCTGGGCCGATATACCGGTACATCAACCGCTAAAGCGCCACGTCCCATTAACGTTTTATGTTCGTTTACCGGTATCTACCGATTTCTGCGGTATGTGCATGTTGCTTGCACGTTGCCCGATGTTGCTCGTACAACCAGTAAGTTGCCCGTTGTCGCAGCAGCGTTGCTGCAACGCCGTCGCACGAAGGACATATTACAGAATCACCCTGCGGTATCACGACTAGCACAGCTCTCCTTACGTCCAACTGCGAATATATAAAAATAAACATGTGTCATTTCGGCTGACTAGAGATTTATATGGGCTGAGCGACTAAATGGACACTACCGGTAGTCGCATGGGGGTATACATATTGGTAATATATGAAACGTGCTGCACTCGCTTGATCGATATTAATGGAAAATGTTTAGCTGGTGACAATAAGCTCATCCGCATGTTTTTTTACTTAAGCAGATCATATGAAGAACACCGTGTAGTCGTCGCGATCTTACTTTGACAAGGTTCTCCGCCAATATCGGTCAAGCAGAGGTGCGAGTGGGAGTGATTTCTTTTGGGGTCAAACTCTGCGCAGGTCCAGCTCGTGTTTTGGATCAACTCATGCGCAACTTGCTCATATTTTGACCAATAACAAGACTACTTTTGGTAGTTTTGTAAAACCTTATAGCTTATTTTTTGTTTGTGATAAAAGTATGGGTTATAGTAGATGAAGATTTAAGCTAACGTCGGTCATGTCAAAATTCTAGTATGCCCGTAGGGCGTGCGCTCGGATAGGCAGTTGTCTATCGGGATGCGTGGGTTCAAATCCGACACCTGTACTACAGGTGTGGGCTGTAGGGGAGGAGAAAAGATCGTGTGCAAATCCTCCATCCGATCTGATATATATGTGCCGGGTCGTCCGGCACGCTCTTCGGAGTGAGTCTCCTATGACTGAATGAACACGGGTAATAAACCACCGTGGAATTTCAGTCGTTAGTGCGTTTGGCGGACGGTCAATGGGATCATTTTCTGGACACAAACGTTCTCAATTAGCAAAAGCAACCTACTTTTACTAAGTTTTGTGGTAGTACACCTAGCTTAGTGAATTCAAGTCATTTTTAAAAGAGTAAAATACTTTTAAAATGATTTACGCAAAATTTGGCCAAATTAAGAAAATGGGTACCGTATTCCTTATGTGATTGGCGACAGCCAGCATTAAAAATACCTGCATAGTAAAAACTATGTAGCGTGTGCAAAAATAGCCAAGCACATAAAGTGCGACGACACGAATTTTAAATCAATTTGATTGGCTGCTGAATTTGTCGCTAATGATAGAGGTCGCCAATCACATAAGGAATAGGGTATTGTTCTAGTTTCTAATATGTTCTATGCAAGAGACATCAATGTGCCCGGAGTAATAATATATGAAAATATTGTCAATGTGTCCGGAGTAGTACTATATGAAAATATTACTACTCTTGACACATTGACGCCTCTGAATCATTATCTGTATCAGAGTCATCTAAGTCGTCTAGATCCGAATCTGTATCGGAAATTATGTCCGATTTCGATTCAAATCTTGGTGTTTGTTGATGCTCAGGGTGAGCTGGTGCTGTTGTCCTTCGATTAGAAATGTCTCTGATCAGACGGACATTTTCGCGGCTCTGCTCCTTAATCACACTGATGAACTGTATGATGTCGGTGTGGCGCACGGAGAAAGCGTCGTTGTGCGTGCGGTTGTACCGCTCGAGAGGATTGTTCATCCGATTTACGATGTTTTCACGGAGACCGTTAGCATTCCACAACTCAGGAACACATGTGTTGATCCAAGTTTCTTGAAATACTTCCAGAACCTCTTCCAGTTCTGCTTAGAATAGGCGGTCGCATGGTCTCCACAGTGGCGCTGGAACATACGACGTACATCTCGGATCCGCCGGAAAGGAATATCGCAGCGACAAATCACAGCAAGTCGGTCGATGCACCCTTCGCGCATGGCCAGGTCCGCTTTAGCCTCACCGATCCTTAGCTCGAGATGTTTCCGCCGTAAAGCTTGCTTGAAGTAAATAGATAGCCAACAGTTCTAGAGTCAGGAAACTGGTTCTTGACAGCCTCGATCATCGCGAACTCAAAGTCACAGGCCGATGTGAAAAGGGTTGAGCTGTTTTTATACGCCACGAGAATTTAGTGCAGGGGGTGCTCGTATATTTGAGTCGTCTTACCAGAGGTAAGGGCATACCAAACTGGCTGGTACAACTTCGAAATTGGTCGAACATCATCACAATGACCAATTGGTAGGACACACCGGTAGGTAGCATCAATGAAAATCGAGCACTGACGCTGCTTCATCCGGTCCATCAGCTGTGGGTGAGCCCAACCAATTACTCGATGAAGAGCCTCATCTTCGTAGTGCGTGAAGTAGAACTGGAAAAACTTTAGGCCCGGTGTGTTCTTGACGTCGCACAATGGCTACGTTTCGAGGCGTTCAGCGTCTTCAACATGTCATCTAGTGGTAGATTAGTATTGTGGTGTAGCGGGATCACCAAAATATGCGAGATTGCCGAATTCAACTTACCAACAGCGCCCAGACACCGACTAACGGAGGCCCCCCCCCCGATGATCCGTGATCTGCTGACCTTTCCTCACCTTGTGTACCCGTCGATAGGGCGGGACCTTGCTCGCTTGGTAACTTCCGAAGAGTTCAAGTGGTATAGCTTGAGTGTCTTGGCGAGACGTGTGGATGGGTGGGGCAGTAGTGGTAAGATCTTCACTCTGCGTCCGTAGTTGTTTCTGGATCCTAAGCGAATATTCGAGCTTGTTGGCTAGATCGTTGATCTGGCCGTAGGGTTGCCTTGCGGGTGTTCCCTTGCCTTTGTTTTGCTTTGCGTCGTACTTGCCGCCTCCTATAGCGGGATCTTGATAGTTGAGAGACTTTTAGGTACACCCAGCCAAGTAGTAAATCCAGTTAACCCTTTGGGTCTGCACGTGTAAAGGGAAGCCCACTAGGTTGTAGGATCTGGCCAATGTATTATCCAGTTATCGCTACCAACGCTAGTTTCGCAATTCCCAACCTTCCCCGAGCTGGTACGGCCAATGAAGTTCCGATTCTTGTGAGCAGGAAGACACTAGCGTGATACTGTGCAAATTGAGGTCTGATTCATAGGTAAGCCTATATCTGCCTGGATTTCTAACCTCTATATCTTTACCTGCGAAATCCCCTACCAGGCTCGGCTGCATCCCCTTATTCTACTTGGCCCATCATCCCAGCTGTATCAGCATCAGAT